TTTTCAGGGTCAATACCTCCCAAGTTTGAACATAAACTACGTCGCCATAAACAAAAATTGTGAAAAATTGCCACCACCGTTTTATTAGATAAAGATGAAAATTTGTTATGATCAGGGCTGCAACGACATCGGAGTTGTCATAGCAATGAAATGACGTTATTAGCTATTTTGCTTGCCGCCGTATTTCTCGGCACTGAGAACTGTTCTTCCAAAATCGTTCACGGGAGCTTTTTCCTCAAATGGCGGCCTCGATGTTCGTGAAATTTAAGCGAAATCTGTAAGAGCGTTATTTCGAGATTCTTTGGGATAAAGTTTTTATAGTTAGAAATACGGTAAAAAATGGACAATCTTGATGTTGGGCTATTATCTGTAGAAAACGAAGCGCTTTCGACCTTAACCTCATAGTAGTTTCAATCTTTTTAAAAACGTGTGTGAAAGATCATGGGGATAGCTCCAGCCGATTGCTAGAAAGAAGGATTTGATTAGCATGTATCGAGGCACTCTTGTTAGCGGTTTGTAAACATTTTGGTCTACTTTAACAAATTAGCGAATAATTTTTAAACTGCTCGATAGATTTTTTTAACAATTTAGAAGATTCTTGAGATTAACCTTCCTTTTATATGACCCTTTAGTTGTAAGATTATTGATATATTGTTGCCCCCGCAGGGATTTCGCCCAGAAGGCGAAATCCCGAGGAGGCACTCTAGTAACTCGCGCGTATATTAAGGAAAGTACTTACAGCTGAAATATACAGTCATACAGTCAATATTGAAAAAATCTCGATTTGCTTGAACAGGCGCCTCGAGGAATCGGTAGGTAATGATGACGTTTCTATTGTTTGCGCCCGCAAGTACGAAATGGTTAGGATGACGTAAAACACAAAAAATGCCGAAGGAACAGCTTACAATAGGCAGATTTTGTGACATTAATTGTGTCAGGAAATAATTGAATGTCATGATTTTCGTATATGGTTTGTATTCTAGTAAAACACAATATTAAAGCATCCCTCCACGATCATGGTGGCGTAATTTTCTGTGACCCTCCCTCTTTTCCTGTCATTTTATTCATAACCCTGTCCTTTTGAAGGGCTCAAAAAACTGCGACCCTCCCCTGTTTTCCACTTCCCCTCACCCCTGCTAATTTCTGAGGAAATTGTTTGGTCATGATTAAGACCGATTAACACTGATGTCAGTGCTGTAGGTGCTGTTATGCAAGACAACAAGTGCTTAATTTTGCTTAGTCACTCAGAAAGGAAGACCAAATCAGTGCCAAATTTGCTTCAGCTCATTGTCTTAAGGGTTAAGTCAGTCTGTCTTTTGGTCAAATTCGATCAAATGATAGACCAGGGTGGAGACTTAAATGGCGTCCCTGAGCACCATTTGTAATTTTACCATTTTGAATGTATTTTAATTTTTTTTTGTATTTTAAACTGTTGATATTTTTTTGGGTTAAATGTATATAGTAGGGTTAAGAATTCTTATAATACTGTTTTACTTTTTAGGTGCTTGTTATAGTGTTATGGGCGCCATGAATTTTTCAGTGTTTTACTACTGTCAGAGTGTCATCCTCCATATATAATATAAAGCCTAAACGTTGCTGCTGCTGCTACCACCGAAAAGCTTGAGGGCGTATTTCGTGTTACATGTGGCACTCTCACTTTCAAACAAATCCTCCATCATGAGTGGGGGCTGATTGGGCTGCCGACTACGCGATGCAGGACCATGTAGTGGTTTGATATTTTTGGAAGTATAGATTATAATTACACTTTTTTTCTGATGGAGTGTACAGCTGCTCATAACCGGTGGAATCGAAAAGAGATGTATATGCTTAGCCTTTTGAAACAAGAGACGATTACATTATTTTTAACTGGAACATTTCTACAACCCATCCTTCCCCCAATCTTTGTACCCCCCCCCCAACCAAACAAAAAATATGGCATGACAGTATAACGTGACACCTAATTTGATCTAGCCGGAAATTCCAAAAATTATTGTCGTTGCACGATTATTAAAACCTGACAGGGTCAATTTTGGTGTTTTAAATCGGCTGTAAATAACAAAATAACAGTAATTTTCTGTTCCTTAAAACTAGCAAAGCAAATTAAGTTTTCAGTTTTTATTTCTGTCGCATATTGCATTTAAAGCCCTTGTAACTATCCAAGTGAATATGTTTCTATGTGGGGACCATCGGCGGGCAATGTTTCTGCAGCTCCCGCACAGGCTAATAACATCATCGAATACTGTACTTTAAAATAGACGCGGATAATAACTCCACGCAATAATTTTGTCTTTGTTCCTTGCTATAACTGAGGTAACGCAGTGAAAATACGTGAAGTGCCTGCGTGATCTTTGCTCCTTGAGGGAACTACGTCATCTCCAATCTGACTTTGTTTTGTAATATCATGACTCAGTTATAAAAAAATATATCATTAGACGATTCAAGCATACACTGTGTTATCTATAATAACAGTTGACCTCTGAGAAAAAAAAAATAGCAACTTCTCGATTCCCTAAAGCCTAGGGATCTAGGATTTAGGGATCTAGGATTTAGCTAACATGATCGAAGCTGTTCAATTTCATTCTTTTTATAAAAAGGGAAGCAGTATTGAGATATTAAAATTTCTTAGGCCACACAAACTCGCACGCTCTGGAAGGGGAAATGCAGTCCTGTGTACGTGTTTATAAAAGGCGTTACAGCGAGTGTCAGCAATTAGCTAAAAATTAGTCTTTCTTCCTAGTTTTCCGAGAGACCTGCACCAAGTGATGACGTTATGATAAGTGATGTTTAGTTCCTTTGACGTTAAAATGAGATACCTTTTTCCTTTTTTACACGGTATTTCGAAGACCAAATCGAAAACTATATTTCAGTTTGTCATTTAAAGCAGTTAAACTCATGTAAACAGGATCATTGCCTGGTCATTCTCTTATTGCTAAGAAGAGTATATAGACGTCAACAAACAGGTAAACGTACTGAATGTTTCAAGGTCCCGTAAATGCAAGGCATTATTGCTAGATTTCTACCCTTTTTTCGTTTTAATGCAGCTTATGGTCATTTATGGGGTTCTCAGCAGGTTTTGGAATCAGTTATCGGTGTTAAGTTTGACTAGCGATAAAATATTATATTAAAGGTAATTACAGAGTTAAAGTAAATGACCAGGGATCAAAATCTTCATTATTTTTGAATGCCAAAATGTGACTTGAAATCATGATTTTCCTACGCGATTGTGTGCCAAATTCAAACGCCGGGTGACAGACGTGTGACAGGACGCATAAGCAGTAAGTGGCAGTAAGATGTTTCCCTGCTAGCAGAGGTCTCACACGACGAGGCAGGGTAGCCCAGGCAGGGCTCTTTACACATTAAACGAAACCGGTTTTAGAAACCGGTAAGGTTCGACCAGAAATTTAGTCGGCGGCTTCATCCAACAACGCGTCGGGAGCCGGCAGAGGTCTCTCTCCTTCCTCTCATTTTTGCCTCGTCGTGAGAGACCTCTGCTAGCAGGGAATAAGATGTAAAACCTCTTCCTCAAAACATTCCAGGGCGAGCGAATATACCGACCTACCCCTCCCCTAAGCCAACATTAACACTTACGTCTTACTTACGGCAGAATGTTGGCTTAGGGTAGGGGTAGGTGGGCAGTTTCCACGAAACGTATAATGATCCAACATACCTGGGGATATTCCACTTTCGATATTATTTGCAATTAATCGTTATGTCATCTAAGAGTTTTTTTCTTTACTTAAATTCATGCATTCGTCCATATATTTATTCTTTTAAGATAGGTAGTAAAGAAATGCTTCGGATTACGGAAATCCCGGTAAATAGTTTTAGAGAAATATGATTGCTTAATTCGCCCTCATTTAATCTTAGAACTTACAGATATAAATCCTTTTCGGTTGGCGCACCAGGGCTTCTGAATTCGCTACCTTTTTACATGAAATCAAGCTCTTCTCAGTGACATTTTAAGAAAAGACTAAAGACATAATTATCTTTTACTGAAAGCCTTTAATTAAATCATTTATTTATTTCAGTGGTGACCGTGGACTTTGCGATAATGGTTTTTAGATAGTTTTTACTTTTTTAGATTTTGAGTGGTTTGTAAGGGAACGGTCATTATTTATCGCCGCGGGGTGGGGGTGTGGGGGTCAGCTACTTCACTGAAGTGATCCCGCTAATAACTTTTGATGACTTTCGTGATCCCCCCAAGTCTTCATTTTCCAAGCAAATTTGAGTGGTCCCCGCTCTGAATCCTTCAACAGTTTTCAGTGATCCCCCACCTTTGGGGTTCTCAGTTACGACTGATCCCCCCCAAAAAGTCCTCCGCCCACCGCCCCCGCCCCCCCGCCAGGTGATAAATAATGACCGGTCCCTAAAGCGCCTTTGGATGCCTGCAGAAAAGGTGCTATAGAAATTGTTTTTATCATAATCATTATTATTATTATTGTGTGGCGTGTGAATTTATTCTCTTGTCACGCCAGCGTCTTGGGTGATGTTTACTATAATTCCATCCGGAGGGAAGAGCACTACTCCCAGCTGCGTCATTCAACAGAAACAGGGCTGTCTCCGGCTGTCTGAGCCTCTCTTACCTACGCCTAGTGTTATTTTTGACCATCGATTAAGAATTGTCATTATTAGTATTTTTGGTCCGTTTCGTTTCTTATCTTTGCTGCGAATGTGCAATGAAATACATGAAAATCGTCATGGGTCATGACAAAAACACTCGCCACCTTGTATATCAATACCGACCCTTTACAGGGCAAGCCAGAAATTACGGTTGAGAAATCTATCAATTACGGTTCTTGTCATTTAAGGCCACGCAATGTTTATTCTGTGGTCTCTCCTTTAATTGGCAGAAGTACTGTTTTCCTATTATAGGATGGAGGTGATAATTGTGTACTTTATAGCCATGAGACAATCATGATTTTAAAATATTTTTCTCAAAAAGTCTGAGATTTTAAAGTCATATTTATAAAATTGTTCTTTCCTGATAGTCAAAGCTGAAGATGGATTTGACTGTTGAAGTGCCGATGCCCGGTCCCCTCTTTGACGGATTTGAACACCGCCACATTGGAAAGACAATACACATGAAAGATGAAGTCAAGATATTAACGCTTCCAAACGGTGTGGAAATTAAGTTTGAGCAAATTATAGCCCTTGCTGGGGATTTCTATGGATTGCCCGAAAACCCAATTATTGACCCCTGTAAAGTAGAAACAGAGGAGGACTCTGGTCGTGACGTTCGCTTCTGTGATGCATACGAAACTCTAGCATGCGCACCGAAAGATGAATTACAGAAAGAGCTGAACAAACTGTTAGCTACCTTGGAGAAGGAGACTGAAGAAGGAAGAAGCATTGATTCTAAAACGTGGGACGAAATCACCGGTGGTAAATGGTTCTTTGGCCTTCCAGTCAAAGAAGGGAGGATGTTAGAGCTGGCTGAGAATAATCACGACCATTTTCTTCCTTATGCAAAAGACGCATACCTGACGGGTCATCAGTTGGCAATAGAAAAAGCAAGAGAAGCCAGTCAATATCCACAAGATCCTGTATTGAAAAAGGAACTCCTTCACGAAGCATTTTCAATGGAAGCATTTGCGTGTCACTTTCTCACTGACAGCTTCGCTAGTGGCCACATTAGGTAAGAAAAATGATCTTAAGAATCGAAGATTTTTCCACTGAAAGACTGAGTTTTCTGTTCTCCTACGACCTTGTTTGCTGAGATAGTTTTCAACGTGTCTTTCACGAGGATTCTCACAGGCTTAACGATCAAAAAAGAGTAACTAAAGCAGAAAAAATTTTCGAGAGCCCTAGTGCGATAAACCATTTACGTTGCACAGTCTGAGATATTTTGAAGGGAAAGGGGGATTTTAGACGTGCTCGAAAGCGGATGGCGCCCGCCCAGTCTTAGGCCTCCCTCCAAAACGTTTTTTTTTTTTGCTTTCTAATTTTAATTATTAAATTCTTATTTGATTTTTTTTAAAACAACCAGAAAAACATGATTGATTTTTTTTAGGAATGATTGATTTTTCCTTTGGTCTGAAGCTATCTGGCGGACGCCGTGTGCCCTTCGGTTGTGTACAAATAAAAATTTTACAAATTTTACCTCTGCTTATATTAGGACGCCAAGAGTTGAATTGGGAAAAGCAACTACTCTAGGAAAAGATGGCCATTTATTATGTAAGTACATGCACGACGAGGACAACAAACATGGTCTGCGCGTGACAAATCTAAGGGGTGATAAATGGATTGCATATGGTGATGGTATGCTTCTGGAAGAAAAGAGCAAAGATAATTTAAAGGTAGCAGCAGAAGCTGTGCAGAAATCAGTTGATCAAGTCTACGAGGCCTACACAAATCCTTCCGGATCTCTTGATCCCTCTCAGGTAACCGACCTGATACCTTTTGTTGATCAGGAGGAAAGAAACAATTCTCCAATGTTTCAGATGATAGATGGGAAGCTTCTCAGAAGATCAAACTTGAACGATCTCCAGGGTACTACTACAACTGCCAGTTGGTGGGGACCGACAACAGTAGCAATGTTACAGGTTTACAAACCTGAAAACTCTGCTATATGGGCGTGCAATTGCTCAAAACCTATATTACCAGGAGAGAGCAAGAACTTATAAAATACTAGCTTAAAGAGAAAAATGTATTAAACATATTCGAGATAACGATTACAGCTGAAAATCTTACTAATTCTCGAGGCGATATATTTTTACTTCACGATTATTGAGATCATGTAACCTGTAGAACTGAATTCAGTTCCAGTTCATACATGTACTAGTCAGATTTAGGGAAATAGGTCTGATTTGACAATTGGTATGTGTTTTAGTTGTACTCTGTGGAATAAGAGATTCTTAGTATACATGTTTTCGATTTCATAAATGATGTTTTTTTAAATTCTATCGGAATTTCTAGTTTTTGTCAGCTTAAAGTAACATGACAATTTTAAACTGCAAAAGAGAAATAGCTTTATAGGGTCAGTTTGAAAAGCGGTGTGTGTATTATTTCTCATCCTAGCGAAAAAACAAGGCCAAGAAATGAATGAAACACTAGCTTTCAGGCTACAATCGCGAATAGAATAAACTGGAAAAACAACCCCTCCTCTCTCAAAGTCTAAGTTTGTATGCAACACGTAAGTTAAGTAAGGGCCTGTTTTCATGAAGGTGGGGGACCCCAAGTAGGTGAGGCAACCACATATCATGTAAACGTGATCAAATTAAAATGACAGATTATATGGATAGGCGGGTTACCCTACCCAAGCGCGTCACCCCACCTACTTGGGTTCCCCCACCTCTATGTAAACAGGCCTTAAGTTATTAAGTAGGACAGACTGGGAGCTATGCACAAGAACACTTGCTGAGTCTGCCAGGCCACTCGCATCGGTAAGACTGGTAGAAACCTTTGCACACACGTAACTGAACACATACGCCAGTCATAAAAGAATGTCAACATTAACAATTGAATTACAACAAAACACCACTTTCAAGCAAACAATGTTACAGGCCGCTACTACCAACGATCCGCTTAAGAAAGCTGGTTTATGCAAGAAACACTGCTGAATCGAAGTCAGAAGTTACCGGTTCCTTGCTCAAATGAAGCAAATCTTGACATCTATAAAATGAGAGAACATACTGAACATTTTGACTAAACAGTGACCGTTTTCACTGGCAAAAGACTGGTTGAAAGGCACCCCTCACATCATCATCGGTCATTCAGGCCGTTAATATCAGGAGCACGTTCCTCGAAAGTACCGCTAGTTAATGTAAGATTGTCTTCTCAATATTCTTAAGGTAATATTATTGAGGTGTCAGTTACCAAAAAAAAAAATGACTGGGTTGTTTGCTAGGAACCGATAGTTGATTTCGGACGTTCGAGGAACCGGCCCTTGGATCACACTCACCGGGACGTAACATAGTTACTCCATCTGCTTATGACTTTCGACTGCTTTCGACTTTCAAGGACAAAGACAGACAGCAGACAGCAGGATAAGCAAGGAGCAGTATACAAGAACAAAAGCTGCGACAACGACTTATTGACGAATCCAGCAAAACTAACACGGACAGAATGACCGGACAAACGGCAAGTTTACTGACAGAAAACGAATTGCAACGCACCAATCACATTTTGGAGTCCAACTTAATTGACCATTTCATTCAATGGAATTAAATTCAATTCGGCTTTTTTTTTCACTCACGCAAAATATGTTAGATTATAGCGGAGCTCTGGCGCGCGAAGCGCGCCTGCGGAGCACCATGGGTAAGAAAATGTGGTAATCTACCCATCCGAGAAAATTTGGTAATCACGTGACCGTACGCCCGACCGTCCGTCCGCACCACAGGCATACCAGTGTGAAATAACTCAATCAACAGGTATGGCAACCCAAATGCAACTCGAGGTTATTTTAGCCACCCGCGTCTGTAAAGCAGAGGAAACTAAAGAGTCAATAAAGACGAAACCGAAAAGCGGAAATTGTTTCTGTATCCGTGTTTTCTAAAGTATTAAGCTTAGATTAATTGTCATGTCCACACATTTGGAATATAGAGCCAGAGAAAGACAGAGAAAAAGAGAAAAAGAGGAAGGCCAGCGAAACTCAACGATAAAAACGGCAACAGAGATCTAGAGCGAGAGAGAAAAAACAAAGGAGACATTTTTTGTTGGAAGAACAACATGAAAAATTTGTAGGGGCGGTGACAAAATGAGAAATGCTAGCGGCCACCAATGCAAGGTGAAAATGAGCGGCAGTGATAAAAAAGTGAACGAGAACACGTACGACATTTCCTCCATAAAAAAGTTTCTGGAAGGTTCACGTTGTGGTCGTGCAAAACAACGGCAAAGAAATGTACAAAAAAAGTGTGCTGCACGTGCAAGGTTGCTTTTTTGCTAATTAGACCTATTGTTCTTTTTTCTCCGTTCTCCGGCGTTGCCTTCGCCGCTTAGCATTACACGATTTTATATTTTGTTTGAACAAACTATAAATATTATCGAGAGCTTCGCTTTTAGCCCTGGCTAAATCTATATATTAATAACGGAGCTCTCGCGCGAAGAGCGCGCAGCGGAGCACCATGGGTAAAACAATGTGGTAAACTACCCATCTGAGAAAATTTAGTAATCACGTGACCGTACACCGACCGACCGCCCGACCCTCCGTCCGCACCACAGGCATACCAATGTAAAATAATTCAATCAACAGGTATGGCAACCCAAATGCAACTCAAGGTTCTATTTGGAAAGCTATCGCATGGCCGCCCGGCCTTTTAGAAAGAAAAAACAACGACAAAGTCGTGTCTTTTTGGACGTTATTTTTGATATTTACACTCACGTGGATAACAGAGAAAGAGCTAGAGCGAGTGATTGAAAACAAAAGAGACGAATTTTGTAGGAAGAAAACCATGAAAATTCAAATCGGCGGTGAGACAATGAGAAATGCTAGCGGCCAGCAAGGTAAAAATGAGCGGCAGTGAAAAATAAAAGCGAACATGAACACAGGAGACAAAATATTGGGTAAGCACATACGACAATTCCCCCACAAAAAAATAATGTGTAACTAGGAAGTTTGACGTTTCAGTCCTACGTTGTGGTTGTAAACAACGGCAAAGAAAGACAAAAAGCGTGCTGCACGTGTAAATTTTTTTTTTTTGCTATTTTTTGCTAATTAGAAAAAAAAGCGTGCAATTTGTTTTTTTGCTAATTAGATCTATTGATCTTGATGCCATTTTCATTGCCCTCCCCGTTTAGCATTACACGATTTAATTTTTTTTTACAGGTATTATTAACCAGAGCTTCGCTTTTAGCCTTGGCTAAATCTATATATTAATATTACAACCGAAGGTTCTAAACAAAGTGAATACCAATACATACCTAGAAGCTGAAAAGAATTACATGTCCAAATATTTCACAAAGTCAATAAAATTCCTTCCATATTACAACACTCACAACAAGTCAACAAATGTACTTGAGGTTCGAATTCTCTATGCGAGATTCTAAAACTAAATAAATTATTATCATAAAGAATGTAGAAGTTGCAAAATCGTGAACTTTAACAAACAAAAAATCATAAACCACACACAGCAGACAGATTGAGATAAACTTATCCGAATCGATTTTCCACATTCACCTATTTTTTTTTCTCCTCCTGTTTTGCTGTCTTCTTCAATTTGAATCCTTTTTTGGCATTTCATTAGTGTTGATATTGCCTAAATTCACGGTGTGCGGTAACTAAGTTGTTGTTGTACTCATTGGTCACATGATCAGTTAGAAGAATATACGTACCTGCGTTTCGACCACAAACATAGCGTTGATAAGTATAAACAATTTTTTTTTGTTTTTTATTCGACTCGTAGAAGTAAAATATTTGTTTTGGAGGTGAATTTGAATTACGAATCCAGGGTTAGATTCACTATAAAGACAATGGATTTAACTGCGAGTCGTCGTTTCGTTGAAGTAGTTTCATTTGACTCCTCAATCGAACACCCAAAAATTGGTGAAAAAATACATCTAAAAGATGAATTTAGGAAAATAACACTCCCAAACGGTGTAGAAGTTAAGTTCGAGGAGATTATAGGCCTCGCTGGAGACTTTTATGGATTGCCTGAAAAACCAATTATTGATTCCTTTAAAAAAGAAGAGGAAGACTTTTTACGAAAACAGCGCTTTCGAGGTGCCTACAACACACTTGCAAGGGCGCCAAAGGATGAATTACAGAAGGAACTTGACAAGCTGTTGGATTTCTTTAGGAAAGAAAGAGTCCTGGATGCAGAAACAGCGGACGAAATCACTGGTGGTGTCTGGTTCCTCGGCATTCCAGTTATACAGGGAAGAAAGTTAGAACTGGCTGAGAATAATTACGACCATTTTCTTCCTTACGCAAAAGACGCATACCTGACGGGTCATCAGTTGGCAATAGAGAAAGCACGAGAAGCCAGTCAATATCCACGAGATCCTGAATTGAGGAAGAAACTCCTTCATGAAGCATTTTCAAAGGAAGCATTTGCGTGTCATTTTCTTACTGACAGCTTTGCCAGTGGCCACATTAGGTAATGATCCCGTCAGGCCATGTTCTTATATTTTCATTTTTTTTTTTATTGCGAGTCATTGATTTCCTGAACTTTTCACAGGGACTTACACTGATATGTGGCCTCTTGGCCCTTAGCAATTACAACGTGAAAGGATTACAACGTCAGAGGCAGTTTTTAGTTAAAAAAAGCCATAGGTACAAGAATCGAAAAACCCACCACAGTACACAGTTGAGTGTACTAGTTTGTGACGCTCTTTGAATTTCATTTACCGATTGGTTGTATTTTAAGTAACTAAAAAAAATACTTTTGATATTGAAAAGTATACGTACATTACATGTGAATTGTTTTAAAAAGAAAAATAGCAGTGTAAATATATTCGTTTATTTTACGAAACTTTGATGCCTGCTTGCAGGACACCAAGATTTGAGCTGGGAAGGGCGACCATTCTTGGAAAAAAAGGCCATTTACTTAGTAAGTACATGCATGACGAAGACAACAAATATGGTCTGCGTGTGACAAATCTAAGGGGTGATAAATGGATTGCATATGGTGATGGGATGTTGCTCGAAGGAAAGAGCAGAGATAATCTTAGGATTGTGGTAAAAGCTGTGCAGATTTCAGTTGATCAAGTGTACGAGGCGTACAGCAACCCTACCAAAGCTCTTGATCCTTCTGTGGTGACCGAATTTATACCTTTTATTGACATCGAGGAGACAAACAACGCCCCACTTTTTCAGGTGAAGGATGGGAAAGTTCACAGAAGATCAAACATAAATGATCTTCAGGACACAAGTACTACTGAAAATTGGTGGGGGCTAACAACGTTAGTAAAGATAACTTTGTGTTGTTATAAACCTAGAAACAGTTCTGTATAGCTGAAGCGCATTCCCCACAACAAAACAAAAAAATTGTATATATCAGTTACAGTCGGAGAAAAAAAGGATTTAACCTTACTTTGAAAAATAAATTACTTAACATATTTTTCAACACGTGTGTGCAAGCACTTATTGTCCGACACTGTATATAGGTCTCTTAACACCTAGCAAAATCGGATGAAGTAAGTTTACTACGTCCTGATAGGGATTATTGAAACATACTAGAGTCCCTTTGCAAGGTGTTATTAAATATTAGAAAGTTATTTGTTGTTCTAAATCTGTAAGTTGCTTAAAAAGTAAAAAAAACACACTTTTTTTTTCATGCATCCGCTTTTATTTATCACCAAGGGGTGATAATTTATTTATAAGTGAAGAACAGTTTACGTTTTTGCTACTTTTTCCTAGAAGTTATATATTTTTCAATAACAATTTATTTTAATATTTTCATCGCCAGTTTTTACTTCTTTTCTTTACTTTTTGAACAGATAACAGTAGGTAGATACCACATCGCTAATACTTTAACGTTACGCTCGTGTAAAAAAAAAGGAAGAAAAGAAAAGGATAAAAAACATACAGTCAGATTTTGTTGTTTTGTACTTTTTTTTAAAAAAGGCAGCGATGCACGAGACAACAATATTACTGTTGAACAAGAACAATTGGAATAGATGTATGAGTTTTTTTTTGGTATTTCATGGTGAGGTTTTTAAACGGCTCAAAACAAGTAATTGTGCTAACTTTTCACGGACGTCAAAATTGTTACATGCAGAAATTTAATAAAATACGTAATAAACCGATTTTAGACGGGAACTATTGCTTTCTATTGCTTTCTCTTTTTACAGTATTCTTTGTTGTTTAACCTGTTGGAAAGCTTTTTAGATGACTCTTGGATCTGTAAGTTCCCTACTACCGTCGCTATCGAGAGTGCTGCTAGTTCTCCTCCTGGTGAGCCCGTGGTTACTTTATACTTTATACATGTAAGTATGCGTTACCGCAGCGTCTATCGAAAGTCCCCCGCTGGTGTCAAACGTTGATGAGGACTACCAGCCCGTGGAAGTGAAAAGTGCTATCTTAATCAAGGAATGAACGGAAGACCAGATTTTTTGAAGGGTTGCAATAGCGAATAGAATGGAAAAACATCCCCTTCTCTCTCATGTAAGTTTGTATTTATTCCCGACCCAAATTGATTACACCAATTTCACTTATCTTTTGCGTCTGGAACAAAACTGGATCAACAAAATGTAACTGTAATCTCATAAGCTGAAACTGCGGAGTCACGTGGACTATCATAAACATAAGCTTCTCAAGCTTCATAGCGAATAACGAAGCCTAATTGGCGTTATTAACAAAATAAAACAGACAACCATGACACAGTCACTTTTCTCCTCCTGCTTTGATTGAGTTGGGCTTCTTTAATTTGAACCCTTTTTGGCTATTCAGTTCACAAGGGTTGATAATTGTTTAACACCGTAACAGATAAGTTGTTTTTGTTCTCATCGGTCACATCATCAGGTAGAAGAATACAGGCACCTGTTTTTCCACCACAAGCGTGGCGTAAACAAGTGTAATAAAACAATTGTTTTGTTCGTACTGGTTGTTTGAAAGTAGAAGTAGAATATTAGTTTTAGACGTTTTACTTAATTCCAACTTTAGATTTACTTCAAACGACAATGGATTTTATTAGTGGGGCAACAAATCCTCGTTTCCAACCATTTAACTCCTCAATCGAGCACCCAAAAATTGCAGAGAAAATCCAGCTTAAAGATGAGTTTAGGATCATGACGCTTCCAAACGGTGTAGAAATCAAGTTCGAGGAAATTATCGGCCTCGCTGGAGATTTGTGTGGATCGCCTGAAAACCCAATTATCGATCCTTTTAAAGAAGAGGAAGACTTTAACCGTAAACAGCGGTTTCGAGATGCCTACGTCACACAAGCACGGGCACCAAAGGATGAATTACAGAAAGAGCTGGACAGGCTGTTGGCATTCTTCAAGAAAGAAAGAGTCCTTGATTCAGAGACATCCGACGAAATCACAGGTGGCATCTGGCCCCTCGGATTCCAATAAAACAGGGGAGGATGTTAGATCTGGCTGAGAATAATCACGCCCATTTTCTTCCTTATGCAAAAGACCCATACCTGACTGGTCATCAGTTGGCAACAGAGAAAGCACGAGAGGCCAGTCAATATCCCCGAGGTCCTGCTTTGAGGAATAAAATCCTTCATGGAGCATTTTCAATGGAAGCATTTCCGTGCCATTTTCTTACTGACAGCTTTGCCAGTGGACACATTAGGTAATGGTACAGTCATGGCATTTGTTTTGTTTTAAACACACTTCGAGTCTTTGAGCTTCCTTTTTATTTTGAACCTGAATTTTTCACTGAGAATTTCACGGATATGACCTTGGACTGCCAGCACGGTAAGAAAGACAAGAATGTGCAAGGGTTTTTTCCTCTTCCGAACAGCTAGCGTTCGGTACACTAGATTGCAATCCACCACGCTTCATGGTTGCGTGTGCTTAATTAAAGCTAACTTTTGCGACTTTTCTTTGAATTTCGAGCGAATACTAATAGTTTGTTTGTTTGTTTGGTTTTCTTAGGAAATACAAAAATATCTCCTTGCTGTACGTAGAAATGTACATTATATGAATTATTTTGAAAAGGCAAAGTTGGGATGTAATTCTTAATCTTTTATTTTATTTTCTTTTTTTAGGGGTGATAAGTGGATTGCATATGGTGATGGGATGTTGCTGAAAGAAGAAAGTAGAGATAACCTAAAGATTGTAGTAGAGGCTGTGCAAACGTCAGTTGATCAAGTCTACGAGGCTTACAGTAACCCCACCAAAGCTCTTGATTCTCTGGGGTGACCGAATTGATACCTTTTATTGACCTCGAGGATAAAAACAACGCCCCACTTTTTCAAGTGAAGGAGGGGAAAGTCCACAGAAGGTCAAACATAAATAACCTTAACGATACAAGAACTACTCACAATTGGTGGGGATTGACAACGTTAGTAAAGATAAGCCTGTGTTGTTATAGACCTACAAACAACTCTATATAGACAAGCAACATCTACACACAAAAAGCAGTCGAGTCATATAATTATTGATACAGTAACAGTCAGAGAGAAAGTGATAGTGCTTTACATTGACAGACAGATTATTTATTAGCTTCTTTCCCCAACGCGAGTGAGCAAGCACCCGACAGATTTGTGAAAAATATCTAGCCGAATTTTTGAAAACGTAACTTGCTTCTCAATTCATTTTAAAAATTCTCTTTTATACGTTGATGACCTGATTATTTTATCCCCTTACAAAGTAGGTTTGCAAAATTGTCTAAACACGATGTATTCTTTTAGCATATATAAAAATACCAAAATTATGATCTTTCAAAAACGCGCTAAGAAAACCTCCGACATGGAATTTCACATAGGGAAACAGTCGAGACCATTGATATTGTACACTAATACACGTACATGTATTTAGAAACCCGAACCTCCTAAACGGGTAATTTTAACTTGTCTCTCTTTTCGGCTTGCAATTAATAAAAAAAAAAAACATACATTAGTAGACTAGAAATACGTTATCGCAAAAATCTCGCGAAGCTTAAGAGGGCCATTAGCAATGAGAATAAATGGAAGCAAGCCAAAGGGTAAAAGTACGATGAAAGGAAAAAAAAGTAGCCCCGTCGCGCACCCAATTTCCTCTAGCGCAAGAAGAGAAGCCTCATACCACAAGGCCATGCGACGCTTGCACAATGCAACCTTTTAACTTGCTGGTATTAAATTGTTTTTCCCCTTTTTACACTGTTTGAACCTTGTGGAGCTGTATTTATTATGAATTCAAAGATACTTTTGAGGAAAAAGAGCTTAAACGAGTATTTCAAAGCCATTTCGCATTGTTCCCGTGTTTATTCACCCTTGGGCTTTATAAAGGCGGCTCGATGAACGAGCTAGTCTTCTTTCTCGTTGCTCTCGCTGAAGTTCAGGTCGCGGTTCTTACGGTGTTAAATCTTCCACAGCAAGGATTTCTAGCCACTCGTCGAATCGTAGGCTCGATTTCCGCCGTCTCCCGGGTCCGGTCTTTGATCCTCCCCGGGGGATGAGTGTGGGCTCATTTTCCCGAACAGCGGCTGGTAATCGAGCCTAGTCGAATCGGCCACTGTTGTGTTTTGCAGCCCGCTGTTATTTGCCTGACAGATACTCTGCGATTCGCCAAGGCGATTCGCCAACATACAGTAACCAGTTGTGTTGCCTAGAAACCTACCGTGCACGATGACGTCCTGTAGAATGGCGTCTTTTGGGTTTGTTTATGGTTTGTTGCTAGGCAACTGCGGATACCAAACCGATAGAAAGAAAGATTTATGACCAAAGCGAAATCGCACTCCTCTTGCGATCTTCGCGCGATCTACCACATGTTTAGTGTGGAGCTGGCGCTAAAGGTGTGCTTATGCATCCTCATCGGCAGTTAAAGGTAGGGTCTGAGCCCCCGTTACGGTCAGGTCATACTGGTCAGTGGAAACCCTGTTTTGACAGCTGTCAATTGATCACAACCTTAATGTGAGTACAATATCAGTTTGCTCCTGGTATCTCAAACTAGCTAGTAAGTGTGAGATTAAACATTGGTTTCCCTGTGGTGCAGACGGATGGTCGCTCGCTCGGGCGTTGTACGGTCACGTGATTACTGAATTTTCTCGGATGGGTAGATTTTCTTAGCTTTGGGGCTCTGCTCTCGCGCGCGCGTGGAGCTAAGCTATAATGGTTTTATAATAGTAAATACAAAATTTGTTTACGTCAGAGACTGATTCAAGGATGGAAGGTGTATCTGTAAAAATACTGGGACGAGGCACCTTCGGGAAAGTTTTCTGAGTCTAGAACGGATGGAATATATTCTGTTGCAATTATATTTCTAGGTTAATCAACTTTTTTTCCACAATTGACTGCACTAGGTGTGACTCTTAAAGCGTCATTTACAGTGGAACCTCGATTTAACGAAGTGCCAAGGGACTGAAGGAATTTGTTCGTTATGTCGAGGGTTCGTTATATCGAACACTTTCATATAACGAATTTTCGGGAAAACTACCAAAATGTTCGCCATATATTTTACAAAACCCGGCATTTCCGGATCTGAAAATTGCATCTGTAATGACATTTCAGTACCGAGCTATGATACATCTGTAGCTACTGTTCTAGAAACCCAAGAACATGCAAACAAAGCCGATTAAAACTACCTGAACTACTCTAGACATAAATTTTATCCTTGTTGGTCTGTTTGGTATCTATCTTTTATCACATGCTGAGAGTTTGTTCGTTATATCGAATGTATATTTTACGTCTGGGCTTGTGTATTGTGTTCGTCAGTGATAACGAGGATTTCGTTAAATCGAGATTCTGTTCCATACATTTTATTGCAGTAATTTTTGCCGGGCTAAAGGATACCCCTGTAATGATGTTTTATTCCAGAAAAATATCAGAAAGTTAGAAAATTTTATCTTGCTTTAAATCTTAATCAATATAGATGAGAAAAAAGAAAACAGGCTTTTTCATAAAATAATTAAAAGCTTTTTTTATTACTTACCAAGTCGGGATAAATTATTTAGTAGTGGAAAACGATTTAGGTTTTGTCGCTATTCTCTCTAATTTGAAATTATACAAAAAATTTATTTCAATATTTTATCTAACAATTTTCTAAAATTGTTAAACAGAATACTCTATGCAGATTCTATTTAGATAATACCTCAAAGTGCCATGGTTACGCTTGTTTATTAGGGGTTTACTCAGGAGTTTAAAAAAAGTAACAAAAAGCCCTTGTTTTCGTTTGATAAAGGCAGGGATGATTGAGACAACAGTTTGCTTTTAAACGAGGACAATGAGATGAAAAACATAATTATTGTACAACCTGGCATCTTCTCTGACTATTTCTAGTCTTGTTTAGCTTTTTGAGAACGCGAAAAGCACTACGGAATATACCGTTCTTAGACGGGAAGAGGACCGAATGATTTCTACCGACTATCTCTCTTTATACTTTTGCTATTAGGGTGTTGTCTTACCTGTTTAAGAGCGCCGGTCAGGAAAAATCGACCAAAATCTTAATTTCGTGGCAAGAGTTGAAAAATCAGTTTCTTTCATTTTTTGTTCATAGATAGCTTTTAGGTAGATAAGAAACCTAAAGTAGATTGCTCCTGCCGAAAGCTTTTTATTTGTGAGAAAAATTAAAAGATCGGTTTTCGATGTCGGAGTCTCAGACTGCCCTAATTTTTAACCTGAAATTCGCTAAAATTAACTTTCCTCGCGTTCGCAAACAAAGTCGCATGGAGAAATTTGGACTCTTTCCATGAACAGAAAAATTCTTTTTCTTCCACTAAAAGATACTTTCGGGGCAATAGCGAAGCTTGTCGTACTGAAATAATTCAAGAATGAGGGATAGGTTTTCACGATAACAAAAACTTAAGTTCGTTACTCATTTTCGACGGCAATGTTTAACATGTGGTATAACTCCAAATTCTCTTAATGCTATTTAAATCACACATTTAGACATTCATTTAAAACATACCTGGGAATTGGCTTGGGTTATTGAACGTAATCTCCGTAAGACACCATCGAAGTTCAGGAATTTTCATGGTAGGCCGGCGGTAATTGTGTAAACACTTCCACTTTCGAACGCACAAAAGTAGATATCTACAGCCTAAAGGCTCATTTTTTTGTACTTCTCGTAGGTTTTCCCATTGCAAAATTTCTTTTTTCAATCAAAGAGTGGGGTAAAAAGGTGAAACTGGGTCAATTTTAGCCATTTTGAAACGCTAAACCCTACCAGACGGCGACTCTGCGTGACAAGCTAATCCGTGACTGCACGTGACATAACGTACGTTTGAAGAGACGAAGCCGTTAAAATGACAGTCACGGAATCACGGTAGTAACGCAACGCAATTCTTGAAAGAGTAACATTTTCGATCCCGACAGTATTTTGAAGAAGGAAAAGTCAAACGCGCTTTTTCTGGCACTCACTTTTTATCGAAAAATATGGACTTTGACAATGGTAATTCGCTAAGGATGACGGAACAGGAAGATATCTCGTCTTCTTACTTTACGATCGAGGAAACTTGGAGCCGTTAAATAAGTTATTTTGGTCACGCTTCACTATTTTTACCGAACTTTGCTGCTTTCGTTTGGAGGCTGCCTAAAGGAACCCAAGCCAATTCTCAGGTATGCTTTAGATGAGTGTCTAAATGTGTGAATAAACGAGGACCGGGAAAATTTGGAGGTATACCACATGAAGAAAAATGCCGCAGAAAACAACTACTAAATTAAAGTTTTTGTCACCGTAAAAACCTGTTCTTCGTTTCTTAATTATGTTAGTTCAACAAGTCTTGATATTTCTTTGAACGTAGCTTCTAGTGAAAGAAGAAGAGTTGTTCTATTGATGGAAAGTGTCCAAATTTCTCCTTGCGGCCTTATTCGCGAACGCGAGAAGAGTTGATGTTAGCAAATTTCGGGTTGAAAATACGGCCATTTTGAGACTCCGACCGCGAAAACTGATATTCTTACTTTTTTCGAAAATAAAAGGCTTTTCGCGAGAACAACGTACATCAGATTACTTATCTACCTAAACGCTATTTATGGACAAAAAATGAAGGCAATCGATTTTTCAACCCTTGCCACTCGATGGTCGATATTTCCTGACCGTCGCTCTTAAAAGCTTCTTAATTAACATGTTCAAACTTGGATTTCTCACGTTTATTAGGGGGCAGGTCGAATATTCATTTTGGCTAATGACTGGGGATGTTTTAAGGTTATCATCACACTCCAAGTTTCCTTTTGAAGAAAAGCAATTTATGTACATATCAAATGTATCCAGATGTTGAGTTATTATAAGTTTGTTTATTTCTATGACTACTAATTTTAGGGTGAGCCTTTAATTTAATAAACTTGGAATTGTTAAGTAATTTATGATCTGGGCTTCATAGATATTCGAACAATTTCTTCTTCCTGGTGAGATGTCTTGGACAAGGCGAATCGTCCGGAGGAAAATGTGTAAGAAAGGGAGATATTTTTTGACATTTTTCCTTCTTTGTCTTCCTGCTTTATCGCATCAAAAGTGCTGGCAAACCTATATGCACGGACAACAAACAAAGGATTACAGGCTAGAAGGTTTTCAACTGAAAGCTTTACATACTAGGACACTTTTTACTTGTTTTCAAATATGCCTGAAACTTGGTACATGTGAATCACTGAATTTCGCGACCGATTCTGGTGTGTGTGAGTTAAATAGAAAGAGGGTCAGTAAATCAGGCTATCTTATTTACCAGCCTGGATATATCTTCGTACAAGCGCTGTTTGAAAAGGGGGTAAGTCAAATACTTTTTTTTTTCATTAGTGATGTGTGCTTGTTGATGGTTCCTTTTTAGTTTAATTTACTCATTATAATTGCATGCACTTGGTTCGTACTTGGGCCCTTAATGCTTGCTGTGCACTTTCTTTTAACTCAGAGGCTTATTAAGGAATCGAAGCGTTGCTAATTCAGTTTTATCACTGGTCAGGATGTCCATTGACCCTTTTTAAAGCCCTAAGAATGACCAGCATCAAATTTCCCCTGGTAATATTAATGCTTTGTAAAACAGAGTGGTCATGAGAATTAGGGACATGATCATATAAGATGAATTTGCTTGATTTTTTTTATCAACTTCTGCCAACTACTTCTGTAGGAAATGAATAGGGGCAACAATACCTCTAAAAAATCTAAAAGCATACAACAATACCCTATTTTTAGAGGACTTAAATGTGTTTTATAAATTTTGCAAACTCTTTTTAACAATTCCTTTCTATAAAGAAGTGAAATTTCGTTCATCATGCGGTGGGATGTAATTTGACTAGAAATTCACTTTAATGCAATCCATCTAAAAAAAAGGGGGGGGGGGGGGGGAGGAAAAAAAATTAAATAAAAATATGACCGAAGTCCCGCCCCAAAGAGGGGGAAAGTTCGTTGAGGTTAATTCAATGTTCGAAATTTTTTTTTTTTTTTTTTTTTCCCCCAAAAAAAAAAAAAATAAAATAAAAAAAAAAAGGGGGAAAAAAAATAGTTTTAAATATTACTTTTAAAAAAAAAAGAAAAATGTTTTTAAGTAGGGGGGGGAATAAATATGGACAAAAAATTAAATAAAAAAAAACAAAAAAAAAAAAGGGGGGGGGGGGGGAGAAGTAAAAGAAGTAAAGTAAAATATGACCGAAGTACCGTCACACAGTAGTGGACAGTTCGTATGAGTTATATCATAGTTCGTACATTTTATTTTTTATTTTATCTGCCACACAATAAAAGAAAATGAAATACATATAAAAAAGGGGGAAAAAACACATGTGCCGCCGTCGCTTATTGACAACAAGTTACGATTATTCTAAGTTAATGAATTATATCCCGATTTTATGTTGAACGATTACAAGAGCCATTGACAATGGGTCTTGATGATTACTATTGGCAGCCATCATCTTGCGCCAAAATTCTTCAGCGGTCTCCTTCAGCAGCAAGCGGCTACTACTGGATTCATATTGGCCAAATCAAGTTTAAGGTGTACTGTGACATGAAAGCTTTCGGTAGGTTCATTTTAAACCACTTATTGTTTCCGATCTTTTAAGAGTAAAAAATCGTCCAAAAGGTTGGGTTAATTTTCTTAACTGGTCAGAGTTACGTTATGTAGCGAAGATATTAACCGTATGAGACTTATAGAAGAAAAAAAAATAACAACAAAGCATCAGAAAAAGACAATTAATTTACTAAAGCAAGCCACTTTATTGAGAAACGTGACTCTGGGTTTTAGGTGTCTAATATGCGAGAAGGAGTGTTGCATTAGATATTTAAAAACAGACCAGAGGAATTGAAAAACTAGTAGCTTTTTCTCGTTGTTTGTTTGGAGCTTCCTTTAAGACAGACTGATTCTTTGCATACAGGAGGCGGATGGACATTAGTGGTCAGTATAAGCTCTAAAAACAATGATTACCATCAAAGACCTGCCATAAACTGCTGGGATTCAGAACTGTACTGTGCGTACCTTTCAACAAAGATAACATGACGACTCGAAAACTTAGTGACGAACATATTCGTCACTTTGCAAGCTGTGAAGGTAAATAATGACACTAGAATCGAAGCTGATGCCAATTATATTATATTTAGAAACGTCTAGCCGAAGAAATCAGACCGGTTGTGGACTGACCGAAGGCAAAAATCGTAAACACCAGTTCTAGGTTTGTTCATACAGCTCTGCAAGTATACACTAGTCAGTGCACAGTCTGTTTGTTACGGTTGCTGCAGTTTTCGTTTTTTTTTGTGTTTACATGCTCAATTATGGAATTTTTTCGGTTTTGTGGCCCCACTTTCACTGAAAACTCCTCTCAAAGAATACTCTTCGGCACGAGCCAGACAGGTACGGCGAACAGTCGAGTTTTCAGGTAAGCTCCATCGTATAAGTAGATCACGAAAGCAGCGCGATAGATGCTGGCCCGGGATTAGACATTATTGTGCCCAATCAGAGACAAGCATTCGAAAGAGTCGTGGCAGTTGTTCATTAAGATTAAAATCCCAGGGTCTCTCTCGCCCGTTCTGAAAAACTTTCCGCCGCAGTTTTTTCCGACTCGACTGATGACCGTCGTTGGGTATCCGAGGATATTCAATACTGTATTATATTATATTGTATTACATTATTATATAATTGTATTATATTCTATATTATAGCTTAAAGGATTGAAAAGATAATATATTACGCATTAAATGCATCATTAATGCCTTGCCCAAAAATGACTTTATGCTTATTGCGTGTTTCTCCACTCTTGCTTTTTTTGCTGAAGGAACATTTCGACTTGATGTTTTCCAAGGGGATTATACCGTCTTTTACAAGGTAAATGAAATTTATCCACCCCTACCCCTCAACAAACTTCTTTGCGAGGAAAATGGATAGAGTAAATGACAATTCTTTATGGTTGTTTGGAAAACATCATTATATCGCTAGAATTTGACGTTGCAAGTATAATTTAAAACAACTGAAACAAATTTGTATGTTAGGTTTTGTAACTAAAAAAGGACATTCAGGCAAATTTTTCCCCCATTCCTTTTTAACATCAGCGGCCAAATGTAATCAGACTGTACTTGAAACATAACAATCGGATTGCCTCCTTTTTCGTAGATTCCTCAGCGATCAGAGCAATTTGATTCTGCCTGCCGTGGTGGTAATGAGTAAGTTTTTTTGCTAAATGTATACGACTTTTCTTTACCGTTTGAATGAACTTGAAATTTTTCTCTGAATTAAGGTATAGCTAGCCCCAAACACTGTAATTCAGTTCATTAAAAAAAAATTCAAGCTATGACCGCAAAACCTAGTGACTTTTCCACAGTTTTTAGAGAAAATTTTAAGGTCGTTGTGATTTGTAATTCAACAATGACGTTACCCTGGCAACCGAGTTTTGACAGCATAGTTTTTCAAAATTTGCATTTTGTCTATGAGAGGAGATTTTATTTCTATTATTACCTATATTATATTTAATTTAGCAGTAATTACTTTAAGTTATTATTTGCTATGATTTCTATAGGTGTCCTCGTCTTATCATCTCTCACCATTATCCGTACACATGGGAAACAAACAACTGTACTAGTCTTGATGTGGGATATCGCATTTTCTTATCTTCTCATTACAGAGGTATTTCACAAGGAAATAAGTACTTCCGTAACGGTACTAATATAATCACATACTTAGCAAATGTTTCATTTATCTTGAAAAGAATCTTCCTGAATTAAAAGTTTTATCGACCAGTGAAATATGGTAGTTGTAAAAAGAAAAAGGAATTTGTCAGAGAAAACTGGGAGAGGGAGTTTGATCACTTATGTAAGAACAAGAAAAAAAGGCTTTTAATAATATGAGAAAAACTTATGAGCCGGGCGAGGCCATTTTTGTGTTTGATAGGTTAGCCACATATAGAGAAAGAAACAGAATACATGGTAAATTTGCCAAGACATCTGCCATGTAAAGTTTCAACTTCAACTTCAACTTTATTTAATAATGAAAATATTAATTACAATAGATTGGTCCGCAAAATAGCAATTGCTAATTTAGGCGGCTCAATTAAAAGAAGAATAAAGTGAAAGGAAAGGAAAGGAAGGAAAATATTTTGAGTTACAATAATTCTTATTTCTATCATAGTTTTATTTTAATTACATTAAATCTAAGGAAAAACGAAGAAGGAGTTGACGGAGAGCAAAAAAACAAATCAAACTTTTGTACAGAAATCACTTAACTGCCAATCGAACTTTTTCAGTTTATTGTAGTTATAAAGAATAGTTGTTTTTCTTTGAAATGAATCGAGCAGTCAGGTTTCTCCGCTATCCCTATCTCATCATTACTTTCCTTCTGATCAGTATTTGACAGTCATGACGATGGCGAGTGTGGTGCACTATTTATATCATCCTTGTATGGTAAGTTAGAGGAAACGCTTAAGTAAATATAAACTCAGTTTTATAATATCTATTGTACTATCTACTTGAACCACCTTCTTGCATAACAGGTACTCTTTACCCCTCTTACTAACGTTCTTGACTGCCCTACTTGCAATATACATATGTCAAACATCATAAACCTCTACTTCGCAGGGACTCAATGAGCCCTTTTGCCTCCTTCTGCGAGGAACGTATTTCTCAATAGGGCAAAATTCTTGATCTGTGTTTTTCTATTATTCAGAGAGCCAACGTGGATTGTATGGGTACACCGCCAGGGACAACAATGGGATTTTTCTAAACAAGGAAGGAATGCTTTACGTCAAATAGCCTACGGCCAACTCAATTACAATACTCATTCATAAGCACCTGCAAGGGATAAAAGAAATAAAAACGGTCTTCAAAATATTTTCGATGGCTCTGCTATCAATTTCAGGATCGAAAGAATTTAAGTCTAACCTATATGTGAATGGAGTTACTACCGTATGGCAACTCGAGCGTGCGCTTGAGCTGAATTTGTAAAAAATGGTATTTCTCGTATATAGCTGATTCAATAAAGTTTTCTTCTGTTTGGCGGTCGTCATTCAAGTAAATCATTGCATTGTTCCATATTAACAGCAAACAATTACCAACGCAAACTTTTTTCATTTATCTATAGTTAAGAGGTGTAGCATTGACAAGTATAAGAGCACCCCAAAAAAATGAAAACAAAAAACAAACAAACAACAACAACAAAAACAGAATATCGACTTCTCCTTTCATCTCAGCCTTTCTTCTCTTTATTTATTGGTACAAGGTGTCTTTTATGTTTTTAGTTCAAAAGGAAAAAAAGTTGAAGTTGAAGTTGAACGAAAGTTTGTGTGAATTTATATGGTTCGTCAGTCTGTTTAGGTCTTACTTCTTTGGGTAGCTTCTCTTGCTGCGTTTTGAGTTTTGCTTAATGCTCGAAATATAAACACAATGTATGTAAATTTACAATGGATCGTCAGCTTGCTTATGTCCCTCCTCTCCTCTTTGATTAGTTTCTCCTGCTGATTTAATGACGCTGGTGACTAATTTATTCTTCGGGACAAATAAATTGTACCGTAGCTTGTTGATCGATATCCCAAGGAGCTTAATAGACAGTCAGAGATTTTCTGTTGCTTAGTGTACGTGTAGTAGGATTATCGAAATCCATATACAGAGGTCTAGTTCGAAAAAGGTTCTTATTGCAATGGATACAGATTTGAATATAGTTAATTTAGATATTTCCAATCTCCCCCCCAGAGTTTTTGATATATTGTAGTATTTCCAAACGATTTTGCCTTCACTCGAACTCTTTTGATCTTCTTAACAAGATGAGGTATATTTTATGGGTGGTGGCGCTGCTGGAGGCCTGTGACGTCATCAACAATGGTCGCCTTCTTGGATTTTACCAAGAATTAGACATCAGTTTAAAACCGCGAGAAATGGTAACTTTTTGGTTCTTAAAATGAAAAATAACACTTGAATATACACTTTGCATGATTTTAGCCACAAGATTTACTTTTATCGTTGATAGAAGTTGAAAAAAACGAGAATTTTCATTCAAAACTAAATGGCTTAACCACCTGCTACGTATAAAGTCACATCTCGTAACCATAGAAACTGGCCATCACTGAACTTTTCTCGAAATGCGCGAGAAGGATAAACGAACAGCTGCTGAAAACGTCAGGTGCTGATGTTTTATCCTCTAGGAAAAAACTTAGAACCACCCGCTCCCCCACCCATTGTACGTCCGAGGGTTAAACAAGAAATTAAAAAACAAAACTTTGAAAAAACTTAATGTATATTAGACGGCCGTCAGCTGTTGACGTCTTAGGAAATGGGTGCTGTATTCGGCTGGCCGTCTGCAAACACGCAGTATTTTCAGTTAATTCAGTCTAGCCCATTAAATCCAAACTTCACCAGACAGCTTGTTCAGTTTTGGGGGGGGGGGGGGGGGGGGCGGGGGGGGGGGAGGTGGGGCAGGGGTAGGGGCTAAAACCACCAATACCAGGTCAGTTTTAAATGTACATGTAGGATCAATGGTGCACGTGCCTATAATTTCCTGCCCTTTAATGCTCAATCTACAACGAATTTAGATGGGTCAAAGTCCTTGCCGAAACGGCACTTCTGAGCGTCTCCGATCTGTCCAATCTCTTGAATTGTGTCTCTCTATATTTTATCAGTGTGCTACTTTCTGTCTTGATTTCCTTTGTATTTGTTTATTTGTCTTCTTTTTGCAGGACTCTGCTTAATTCAGCTCAATTCTATGCGAGACCAGATGTTACTGCATGTATAAATAATAATAAAAAAGTAAACCCTAAGCAATAACCTAACTAATGTGCTCTCTAATACAAACAATGGACGTACGGTGAACTCTAACTAAACTCTCCTGTGGCACGTCAAACGTCACCACCAAAAGTTATAAAAAATGTATTACTTAAGACAATTTGACTGGTCGTTATGCCACAAAACTAATCACTTTAACTTTCTGCTTCTTTATTAAAATGAAGTGCTGAGAATAATTTTATTAATCAAGATTATGTTTGTTTTTTGGTTTTTAATTTTCTCAGAGAAACATAAACAGAGGAATCCAGATGTTGTCTTTGTTTGTTTGAGTCGAAGGCAGACACAATGTAATGCTTTTGAATCAAAATAATCAGAAAAAAGTGCTTGGTGTCCAACTTGACAACTTGGCATCACATTGTTAATATTTCATGGCTTTGGATGTAGCTGCGACGCGTACCTTACTGGGATGCTTTTACATAAGCTTGAGGCATCCTATCAGTTTTTGTTACTTTAAGGACAACCGAAAAAAAAAACATGATTCGGAAAGGTACAATGTTTATATCATTTCTTATCTTATGCCTTGTACCGTTCTCTGACGGAAACTGTTTTCAGAACCAAATGTATGGCAAACAGACAAAGGATTACAAGCTAGAAGGCTTTCAAATCCAAACGGCTTCGGCGAGGGGGATTTTCACTTGTTTTCGCTATTGCCTGAGACAAGAAAAATGTAAATCAATTAATTTTGATAGCTACTCTGGTGCATGTGAGTTAAATAGCAACAGCCTCAGTGGATCACAACAGCTTATTTACCAAAAAGGAAATATCTTTCTGCAATCGGTGGCCAAAAAGAGAGTAAGTCAAATTCTTTATAACTACTACTTTTTTAAGCACACATCATTACTATTCGCTTTTCGTTTATGAGCAAACAAAGCTTTGGCTCTGTTCTTCCTTCACCTAGTCTGGCACCATTTTCATGAAAGAGGTCTAGACGTTGTTCTTAAGTAATTAGGCTACCTAGCTACAATGACCGTGACATTGACTAATAAATTTAAACCAAATTGTCTAAAGTTTTGGTGGTTAGATGCGCGAAACAATAAAAAGAAGAAACCAAATTCAAATATTTGTTTTGGTAAACGAAGATTTTAGCTCAATTTAATTTTCTACCATCCTTTCTTTCTTTTTAATGATAATCATTGACAGCACTCATCGTGCGCTGAAATTCACCAGACATCTCCTTCAGCACCAAGCGGCTACTACTGGATATGTATTGGCGGAGTCAAGATAAAGGTGTACTGTGACATGACAGCTTTTGGTACGCAGTAACTGACAGTTTTAAAACCTAATATTGTGAAACTTTCCAGGATTATATAAATTATTATGATAACGAACGTTAACTTACTTGACTGACGTTAAAATGAACTTCCCATTTAAAATATACTCACTAGCATTTCGGCTTTTTTCATTTTTTAAAAAAATGTTTCGTTTGTGTATGCAAAAAAGATTTCACGTCTTCAAACTGACTAGTCTAGATACGATGTACAATAAATCATACACGAGAAGGAGTTTCAGTAAGATGTGCCAACACTGGAAAAGTGAGAGGAAGAAATAGATTTTTTTCCATATTTTTTCTTTTGCAACCTACTTTTCAGACTTTTCAGACTAGTACACGAGTTTATTATAAACATACTGAGAAATACTTACCAAAAAGCTATCTCGTAAATTTTCATACGCAAACGAGTTCTACCCAATCAGAGGAGCGAACGATGGTTTTCACCCGTGAAAAATATGATACGTCGAATAAGAATCGCGAACGATGTGTGAGACACATGATACGTCCAATCAGAAGCCACAGAGGTGTGTGCCTGATATAGGCGCTTGTAGCTTGCAGCGCCGCTTCGCAGACATTAAACGAGGAAAGTTTTTCTCGAAAAGTTTTTATCGTAATAAAAATGAAAAACATCCCGAAAATTCGTTTATTTCACTGTCGATAAAAACAACAATAGAGAGCCGGCAAGAAAACAGCGGAAGTTGAAAACAGAACGATAAATAAGCTTAAGTTGTGCTTTTACCGGATCTACTTTGTCTTCTATTTGAGCTTAATATTCAAACCGCCGACCAGTTTTCCTTCAATTCATTCATTTTCAATTGCCCTTTTAGAATAAACAGTGGAGATAACTTGTAGTTATTTCATATCCTTAACCTCGTTTTTTTTTATCAGTTATTACCTGCATAAGTTCTACTCTATTCATAAGAACTCTTTTGTGCCTGTGTGAGAAAAGGTCGTCTAAAAGTGCAGCAGTTTCAAGAATCGAAAAGAACAAAAAAGACATTATTCCAGTTTTCTACTGACTAGTTAGTGAAGACCGAAGCCCCACATTCATCCTTCATCTAAAAGGCCTGCACTGTTATTTCCACCTGGGCAGATATGCGTCCGTGAGAGGGCTACTCGACATTTTCAGGATTAAGAAGAGGACTCTCCTTGCAAAAATTTAAGTTCACATAATGAGTAGCCCCTTGAGGATAATACATGAACCGCTATCACAATACTGCTGCTTTTAATCACAGGGTAGACGCCAGTAAAAGACGATTTAGATCTTCAAATAGTTTTCCACACTTTTATATACAATGCAGGTGGTGGATGGACATTAGTGGTCAGCATAAGCTCTAAAAACAATCAACACCTTCAAAGAGCTGCCGTAAACTGTTTGAATTTGGAGCTGTGCGTACCTTTCGAAGAACGTAGCATGACGACTCGAAAACTAAGCGACAAGCATATACACCACTTGGCCAACTGCGAAGGTACTACTCAACATGCCCAAATTTGTCCGCTTTGTGTCCTCAGTCACCACTGATTTAAAAGCATTATGTACTTGTCATAAATATATTTATATTGCCGCACACTATAGGAAACTAGGTAAAATATAACGCTAACCGAGAATATATATATTAAAGCTATAGAAATAAACTGTGGATGGAATACAGCACTCTAATGATGGAATGTCTCTATACAAAGGACCTGTAGAAGTGCTTAAGAATGACCTCTGAAATATGAAAAGAGTAGGTCTGCGAATTGACTACATTCCTCCCGGGAATTGAGTGTAGGCTTGCACTTTCTAGTGGGGCCGACTTTCTAATGTAGAATTCTTCATAGAGGCGCAGATTAGCGGGGTCGTTTTCGCTCATAATAATCTTGACCTCAATGCCTTTATAGTCTTTGCTATGGCAGGAATAGATTTGTTTTTTTTCACAGAAGAGTTTTCATTATTGAGATGTTCTCAGACGAGCCCTATCCCACACCTCCACGAAGCGTAAATGCACTAGACACAAATGCCCTATCTCCAACACCGGATTATGTTTACTAAGAGATGCAGTGTACCAGCTCACGTGTGACAGCTGCGATCAGCAAGACAATGGTAGCCCGACACGCTTCATCCACGACCGCGTAGAAGAACATCTCAGTAATGAAAATATAGCACGCGCGGAATATTTTCTCATCCCTGATGATGCCGTTGATCGGCGAAAGCTTGGATATTGGATATTACTTTTTTAAACAGCAGTTTAAGGCCTCACCAGAACAGTTTTATATTTTTTAATTATGCTGCTGAAGGACAACATGAACAGACTATGATTAATTCTCCTGTTCGCTTTTGTAAACATATGTTCCTGCAAAAATTTTGTTTTCGTTACTTCGTACACAGGAACATTTAGATTGGATGTTTTTCAAGGGAACTATTCCATCTTTTACCAGGTAAATGTTTTCTTTTCTCTTCAGCTGGAAAAATAACCTAACAGAGAAGAGAAGAGTGTCACGTCACAATAATTCAAATTTGTGAAATTATACGATTCGTAATCGTACTTAGAAAGAACAAGATGAAAAAAGCCCCCTTACAAAAAATCAGCTGGTCAGTGCAAATTGGTGGGTATATTTAAGAACCAGTTTGTTCTGATGACTCCATACAAATCCTGCTAAAATTGGCTTCACGATAAATCACGCTGTTTAAACACCATGAAGTCTTTTCTTGCCTTCAAAGTCATCAGCACTTGGATATTCGTGTATTTTCAATAAGGCTTTACTATGAAACTTTGGCAAAACACCCAGTTCACGACAACGATTTTGTTCTGCTTTATATTCACCGCCTAGCGCGGTGAATATAACGTCAATTAGTCCGAGATAGCTAACCAATCAGATTGCTTGAATTACCAAGATCACTTAGTGTGTGTATATACTAAAATCTCTTATATGGTCCCCCCACCTTGTAGTGGTCTCGTATTAGAATATACATACATACATACCTTATTAGTATTCCCCAGGCGGCTTTTCAATACTAAACAGAAGAACATTATGATAAAAAATGAATAAAATTATAAAAAGCGGTCATTAATTAAAATAATTCTCTAGCATGTGCGTTTTCAACTTTTTTTTAAATAATGGGAAAGAGAACTGTTTAAAGTCTTTGTCAAAATTGTTCCAAATGTTGACTGCTCTATGGAGGAAACGTGTCTGTCCTGACTTTGTCTTGCTTGGAGGAATATCAAGGGATTCTCTGTTTCTAGTGTTATGATAGTGAATAGACTTGCGTCTTCGGAGAGACTCACACAAATATGTGGGGGCTAGGCCCTTCATGCACCTAAAGGTCATTACAGTGTCTCTGTAGTGGAGATGCTCATTTACTGGTAGCCATTTGATCTCGCGTAACGCAGGTGTTATGTGCTCAAATTTATTTGTTTTTGTGTTGATTCTGCACGCGAAATTCTGAACAGCTGGAAGCTTCTTGATGTTTGTGGCAGTTGTGTTTGACCAAACTGTAGAGCAATAGAACAATTTGCTTAGGACTAGAGCGGAGATGATTGTGCACAGAGTGTCCCTATCAAAACTGTTCTTTACCCTGTTAATTTGACAAAGTTTGGTCGAGCACGTTGAAGTTAGTTGATGGATGTGTTGGTCATAGGTTAAGTTGTTGTCTAGAATTATTCCGAGATCCTTGGCACTGGAGACAGGTGTGATCTCTTTCCCCACGAGAGAGATCGAGATTTCTCTCAGAAGCCTGCGCAGTAGTTGTTGTGTTCCGACCATAAGGAACTTGGTCTTATCAGGGTTGATTAGTAGTTGATTTTTACAGCACCAGGCAGCCACTCGTCTTAAATCCTCTTCAAGAACACATTCTGCAGACTCGGCATCCTTGACTGGAAAGGATAAGAAGATCTTAGAGTCGTCTACGTAGGACTCGAGATTGCATACTTGTGGAGCGAGAGGAAGATCACTGATATAAATACAAAACAAAGGTTGTGACAGTATGGGGTCCTGTGGTACGCCATGGGTGATAGGGAGGGGTGTAGATGTAGATGTGCCAATACGGACCACCTGAGTTCTATCAGTCAGGTAACTCTCAAACCATTTCGTGGTTTTGTCGGCGGCAACAAGGCTGAGATTCTGTAGTAATATAGAATGGCTAATACTGTCAAAAGCTTTTGATAGATCTAATAGTATCAAGGCTGACAGTCTCTTATTGTCCATAGCATCTAAAAAGAAGTCGCTGATCATAATATTAAGAGTCACTGTAGAGTGGTATTTACGATTACCACTTTGGTGTTTACTAAGGAGGCCGTTACCTTGTAAATAATTGCTGAACTGTTGGAGTGCTACCTTCTCGCAGATCTTTGAAGCAACGGCAAGCATCGAAAGGGGGCGATTATTTGATGACTCCTCGTGATCTCCGTCTTTCAGTAGTGGTATGACCTCAGACGCTTTCCAGGAGTTTGGAAAGGTAGAAGCTGCGAAAGAACAGTTGATGATGTCCGTCAAAGGGCCAAGGATAACAGGAAGGCAGTCTTTGATAATGTGCATGCTGACTTTGTCGGGGCCAGGAGACTTATTAGAAGGCATAGATGCATGATACAACACGTTCGACCTGCGTACAGGTAACAGGTGTGAAGTTGAATAGTTCCTCGGGTGAGTTTCTGGTCATTGGTGTTGAAACTAGGCTTGTATCTGAACTATTGATGTTGTTGTCTATGGCCAACTGTGCAGCAGTTTGATCAGCGTTTCTCCCAACAGAGGAGAAAAATTGGTTGAAATCGTTAGCAACTAGCTCAGTGTCTCTACTATAAACCGGAGTTTCTTTTTCTTTGGATGGAATACAAGTATTGAATATCGGACAAGTCAACAACTCAACACGCTTTTAATCCGACTTATGTACTACATACATATTTCGTCCTCGTGTTCTACCACATGCCCTCCTAATTAATACAGTATTACATCCCATAATAATCTCGCAGCAGGTAGAACGACTTCCAGTACACTACATCTCCCTCTTACTTATTACAAAAGAGCTGGCACCTAAACTAGGTATATAAAATGACTAACAGAAACGAATACAATAAATTTTGAAAAGGATATCAAAAACAGTCTCTTGTCTCGTGTCAACATAACTTAAACTACATGTACAAAGTCACAAACATAGTGTTGCATCCAGGCTGGCGCTTGCCTAGTGCGCACAGGTCGCGGAGTACGTGAATCACTCGACAAAGGGCTACTGCGGGGATCACACGGTTGGGTTGGCGGACCCTCTGCAATTTGAACGGGCTGACTTCCTACCAAGGGTGTTGGCTGTGGTGGCAGCTGATCCTGTTTAGCTTGCACAGGTTTAACGAACTTTTTCATGTGGGCGATGTTGCGAATCTTGCTATTGCCATTGACGTCTTGCAGAATTACAGCATTCCCTTCTTTTTGTATGACTACATAAGGTTCAGCCTCGTAGTTGGGTGAAAGCTTGCTTTCACGGGTTTGTTTCAATAACACTTTGTCACCCTCTTCTATGTTGCTGTATTTGGCAGCCCTCGTCTTGTCTGCGTGTTCTTTCTGTCGCAGTTTGGCACGAGCATCACTCTCTCTCAGCTTCTGTTGCCAAAAGGGCTCAGGGGGTCGGTCTTCAAGAATTTCAACTTGTGGTAGCTTGTCTCGCAGTTTTCTCCCCGTAAGTAATTCAGCAGGAGAGACAGCAGTAACAGTGTGAGGGGTTACTCTGTACTGGAACAGAAAGTTTTGAGGAGATTTCCGCCAATCTTTTCCTTCAAGGCGTGCGATTCGCACAATCTTGAGAAGGGTTTCATTGCAACGCTCCACTTCTCCATAGCTCTGAGGCCATTATGGTACACCCTTTTTGTGATCCATCCCAAGGTACTCTAAGAACCCCGCGAATTCCTTTGACGCAAACGTACGCCCATTGTCACTACGAATGGCTTGGGGAAGACCATGTGTTGCAAAGATGGCTTCCAGGCCTCTTACTACATGGTTGGCATCTGTTTTCTTCAGTAGTATAGCTTCTATCCAACGAGAATAATAATCTACCACCACCAGGAGGTGTTCTCCGTTTAATATCTCAATAAGGTCAATTTAGATCTCTTGCCAGGGACCGTCAGGCAACCGGCTTGATCTGATGGGCTCAGGTCTGGCTCTGGGTCCTACAAGGTAGCACGTGTGGCATGCACGGATCTCTTCTTCGACCTGCTTGTCAATTTGTGGCCACCACACTCCTTCTCTCAGTCTGGCCTGGGTCCTTACCATACCCTGGTGGCCCTCATGAGCCAGGGCAATGGTCTTCCTCCATAAGCTCTCAGGCATCACGACACGTTTTTCTCTCATAACCACTTGCCCAACAAGCCATAATTCGTCTTACACTGCTTTGTAAGAGGTGCCTGGCAGCTTGCTCCAATCACCTGTTATCACGGCCTGGCGGACGAGCTGAGGTGTGGGGTCTTCTGCTGAAGCAGTCTCCACTTGTTTGGGTGTTAAGACGGCTGGCAT